AGACCTGTCGATTCTAGAAAGCGTTGTGTTCAAGACACCAAGTATAAATGATTTATTATCTAAGTATATCTTAATTTTGGTTATGAATTGATTGATATCGTTGGCTGCTCCCACATTCGGGGCATAAATATTCATGATTGTTAAGTCCTCTTTTGGATAGATCCTTCAAGTATGATATCGTGTCCCTCTTCATCTCTTACTACAGTCTTGGGATAAACTTTAATTTATCTAATGTAACGATGGCTACCCCTGCTTTCTTTGAGGATCATTTGAATGATAAATGGTTCTCTAACCTTTTATTTTCAGGCTGCAGGTGTCCTTATGTCTACACTGAGACTCTTGACTCATCAAGACTCAAGATGGGTCTTGCTTTTTTATCCAGTCTGAAACCCTGCACCTTTTGATGGGGTCATTGAACCCATTCATGTTCAAAGTTCCTGTTGAAAGATATCAATTTAGTGTCATCATGATACCTATTCAGTCCCTATTTTTGTGGATTGTTCCCTTGGACTTCCTCTTTCTTTTACAGTGTCCCCCTTAATATTTCTTGCAGAGCTGGTTTGGTGGTCACATATTCTTTCAGTTCCTGCCTATCTTGGAAGCTCTTTATCTCTCCTTCTATTCTGAGAGTCTTGCTGGATAAAGTATTCTTGGCTGCATGTTCTTCTCAATTAGGACCCTGAATATATCCTGCCTGCCCTTTCTGGCCTGCCAGGTCTATGTGGAGAGGTCCCCTGTTAACCTAATACTTCTCCCCATAAAGGTTAGGGATTTCTAGTCTCTTGCTGCTTTGAGGTATTTCCCTTTATCTTTGGAATTTGCAAGTTTCCCTATTGAATGTTGAGGTGTTGAATTTTGATTTTATTTTTTTAATTTTTGGGGAATCGTTCTATCTCCTGGATCTGAATGCCTGTTTCTCTCCCAATGTTAGGGAAGTTCTCAGCTATGTTTTGTTCAAAGACACCTTCTGCTCCTCTATCCTTTTCGGCGCCCTCTGGAACCCCAATTAAACGTAGATTTTTCCTGTTGAGGCTGTCATTTATTTCCCTTAACCTTTCCTCATGATCTTTTCATTGGTTTTCTCTTTTTTTGCTCTGCTTCCTTCCTTGCCATCAACTTGTCTTCTATGTCATTCACTTGTTCTTCTACATCATTAACCCCCGTTTTTAGGACCTCCAGTTTGGATTGCATCTCATTTAATTGATTTTTTGTTTCGCCCTGATTAGATGTAAATTCTGCAGTCATGTAGTCTCTTGAATCCTTTATGCTTTATTTCCAGAGCCACTAGTAGCTTTATAATTGTGCTTCTGAATTGGCTGTCTGACATCGAATTGTTATCCAAATTCTGTAATTTGGATTACAATTTGATGTCAATGAGTCAATTGGAAAAGGACAAATATTATATGGTCTTATTCATTTGGGGAATATAAAAATTAGTGAAAGGGAATAAAGGGAAATGTGAGAAAATGAGTGAAAATATCAGTGAGGGTGACAAAACATCAGAGATACCTACTCTGGGAAATGAACAAGGGGTAGTGGAAGGGGATTTGGGTGGGGGGTTGGGGTGACTTGGTGATGGGCACTGATGGGGGCACTTAGGATGAGCATTCGGTATTATGCTATATGTTGGCAAATTGAACTCCAATAAAAAATACACAAAAATAAACAAAAATGGGAGGTTAAAATGCAAATACATTTCTGTGAGAACATGTGGAACTCATGTTCTAATGCCCAAGAGATGGAACCCATTCTGAGGGTCAGACCTGGACATGTCAATGGGGAGGGAACTGGTGAGCCCTGGAAACCAGCTGGGCTCTCAGGGCTTTGGGCCTTGCCGGGGTGTGTGCCCTGTGACTAGGAGGGGGCGCTGAGGGACTGCCCTGTGGTCCCTACAGGGCTGCTCAGTGAGGACCCATCACTCAGGGTGCCTGGGCCTGACAACTGGGTTGTGAGCTCCCTGATGGGGACTCAGCATCTGTGTCCCCTCTGGCCTGGCAGTCTCTCCTGGGGGCCTGTGTGTGGTCCCCACAGGTGCTTCCCCCCAGGGCTCTCCCCAGGGCTGAAGCCACCTCCATCCTCCTCAGTGTGTGGTGTGAGCCAAGCTCCAGGATCAGGGCCTGGGGAGGGGCTGGGCAGTCAGTGGGTGGAGCCCATGTGCATGGACAGCCCCTCCTGTGGCGGGGGGGAGGGGGGGGAGGAGAAGAGGAGGCCCGGGGCAGCCCAGTCCACGGAGGGGACCAGGGACTGTGTCACCCTGGCCTGGGATCTTTAATGTTCATTCTGCTCTGTCAGTGCACAGGTCAGGACTGACCTCAGGGACACAGAGCCACTGTCAGCCTACGTCAGCTGGTCTAGCTTAGAGGTTTGAGGAAATTCAGTCTGGCCCCTGATCCATCACCTGTGAATGTGTCTGCAGGTTCCCCATCCCAGCCTGTTCTAACCCAGCGCCCTCCCTCTGCTTCCCTGGGAACAACAGCCAGACTCACCTCCACCCTGAGCAGCGGCTGCAGTGGTGGCCATAAGCTGGTTCCAGCAGCCAGGAAGCCTCCTGAGTACCTGATGACGGTCTACTGAGACTCACCAGGCCCCCGGAGGCCCCAGCCGCTTCTCTGGCTCCAAGGACACCTCGGCCAATGCAGGGCACTCAGATGGCTGCGAAGTTCATACAACAGGGTCCTCATGGGGACTCATGGGCACCACTTCAGGCTTTCCTGCCTGCATGATCAGACCCTTGGTATAAGGTTAAAAAAAGAGACAAATGATTTTATAAAATATTTTTAAATGTCTATTTCAATGAAAGCCAAAGTCATTTCTTTTTTTAAAAAGTTTTATTTATTTATTCATTAGACACATAGAGAGAGAGAGGCAGAGACACAGTCAGAGGGTGAAGTAGAGTCCCCACGGGGAGCCTGATGCAGGTATCGATCCTAGGACCCTGAAATCATGACCTGAGCCAAAGACAGATGCTCAATCACTGAGCCACTAGGTGCAACTGCACTGAGGTTTTAAATGCCACTTCCATTGTTATTCTCCATGCAGTCTGCACAGATCTGTGAACAATATACTCATAATTCCACCTGCGTCTTCACAGTGACATCATCACTGAGTCTTAGTCAATGCACATTGAGATGATTTTCTTAAAAAGAACATTCAGGACTGTGGGCCACTGGGGTTGGTGAAGGATCTCAAAATGGCTGGGCGAAAAGTTGCTATAAAAACCATTGACTGGGTAGCTTTTGTGGAGATCATACCCCGAAACCAGAAGGCCATTGTCAACTCCCTGAAATCCTGGAATGAGATGCTTACCTCCAGGTTGGCTACTCTTCCTGAGAAACCACCTGCTACCGACTGGGCTTACGACAAGGCCAATGTGGCAAAGGCTGGCTTGGTAGATGAGTTTGAGAAGTTTAATGCCCTGAAGTTTCCTGTGACAGAGGATAAATACACTGTCCAGGTGGATGCTGAGGAAAAAGAAGATGTGAAAAGCTCTGCTGAGTTTTTGTCCCTCTCAACGGCCAGGATTGAAGAATATGAAAAAGAGCTAGAGACGATGAAGTACATAATTCCATTTAATCAGATGACCATTGAGGACCTGAATGAAGTCTTCCCAGAAACCAAATTAGGCAAGAAGTATCCCTATTGGCCTCACAAGCCAATTGAAAATTTATAAACATGAGTTGAGGAGAAAGCCCTGGCCCTCATATTATAAATGTTTGACATTAAAAATTACAATATGGGAAAAAAAGAACATTCATCCAATTTATGTGCACAGTTGGTCTAGGGGGTGACCAATACTCAATCTCTTCCTCTGGATTCTTGGCAGAAATTCTCCAGCTGTCACATCTTCACTGCTAAAACACCCTGCAGGTCTGCCCCTTGTGCTCTGTGGTCAGTGGCACACACACAACCTCATATGACAGGATTCCTGTGGACCTGTGTCCATGTGCGGGGACGACAGACCATAGGATGGAGTCCCTGCCCATAGGGTGGGGAGAACTAATGTTGAAAACAGGTGAAAAAAGTGAGAGATGACAACGATGTTCAGTGTGTAACCTTTCCAGGAAAGCACACGAGGGCTTCTACCCACAACCTGGAATATCTCACTCCCTGGGTTTTCAGTATTTCAGGAAACTCAGAGAAGGAGAGGGCTGCAACCAGGGTTATCGTATAGGAGGAAGGTCTCAGCATCCTGCGCAGAAGAGGCCACTTGTACACAGGGACCCTTCACTCCTCTGGATGTGACAGTGATGTCAGACAAATTGGTATAGAGACACCACCTCAGTCCTGAGTGGCCCATGAAAAGCCAAGGGATCCATGGCAGACACACACACACACACACACACAGAGAGAGAGAGAGAGAGAGAGAGAGAGAGAGAGAGAGAGAAAGAGAGGCAGAGACATAGGCAGAGGGAGAAGCAGGCTCCGTGCACAGAGCCGGATGGGGGGCTTGATCTCAGGACCCCAGGATCATGCCCTGAGCCAAAGAGAAATGCTTAACCACTGAGCCACCCAGGAGTCCCTCACACTGAGACATTAGAGTGTAGCCTAAAATCTATGCCACAGTCATGGGAGACCACCTGTGGGGAGACTTGTCCAGATCATAGGAGGAGAGTGGACAGAGCTCTGGAGACAGGACCTGAGTCCTATGGCCAACTGATCCTCATTTCATGCAGGGTGAGGTGGCGTCAGGATGCCAGAAGGCAGTTGAGGCTTATTTCTTAGAGCTCAGGCTTGATCAGAGCTGGGAACACCACATGGCACTGACTGGCCTCTGCTCAGGGCTCACAGCTGGGACCTCCTGAACCACACCCCAGCCCCAAACAGCCTCTCCCCTGCCCACCCCCCTGACATCCTCAGGCAGAGGGACCTGACCCAGGACCAGGGAGGGTTCAGAGAGCTGGGGTCTCATTTGCATGGGAGGGCCCCTCCCTCTCTCAGAGGATCAAGAGGGGAAGGGAGAGATGAGGGGAGGCTCTGCTCAGCTGAGGGGTCACTGAAGACAGGATCAGTGATGACCTCCACCATGGGCTGGTCCCCTCTCCTCCTCACCCTCCTCGCTCACTGCACAGGTGACTGGATGTGGGACAGGGGGAGGGGCCTTGGGAGGACATGTGGGGTTCTGCATCCTCCTCTTGTATCCAGCATCACCCTATCTATTTCTCTCCTTCTTGCAGGTTCCTGGGCCCAGTCTGTGCTGACTCAGCCGGCCTCAGTGTCTGGGTCCCTGGGCCAGAGGGTCACCATCTCCTGCACTGGAAGTAGCTCCAACATCGGTGGAAATTATGTGGGCTGGCTCCAGCAGCTCCCAGGAACACACCCCAGAACCGTCATCTATGGTAATAGTAGCCGACCCTCAGGGGTCCCCGATCGATTCTCTGGCTCCAAGTCAGGCAGCACAGCCACCCTGACCATCTCTGGGCTTCAGGCTGAGGACGAGGCTGAGTATTACTGCTCATCATGGGATGATAGTCTCAGAGGTCACACGGTGCTCCAGGCCTGTGGGGAAGTGAGACAAAAACCTACCTACCCATCTGCAAAGTGAGTGAGCGCCCCAGCAGCTGCCTGCTTAGGCTCCCGCTGGGATTCTGCTGATTCTTCAGTTGATGTCCTGAGCCCAGGTGCATCTCGGGGACCTCCTGGGAATGGCACTTGCTTCATCCTCTCTGACCTCAGAGTCACTCAGAGTAGCCCATTGTGCACAGAGGGTGTCAAAGGAAAGGGAAAGTTCTGTCCTGGTGATCAGGGACAGGTTCTTTTACACTGGTGAACATTCACTTATCATCGTCTGATTTCTCAGTAAAAGAAATACTCTTAGGTCGTAAAACTATTATGGGTCCTTCAGCCCCATCCCTGTTCTGCTGATGCACGTCAGCTCTTTTTGGACCTGGGAACATTGTTGCCTTAGCTTCAACCAAAAGACGAGTTCTTATTATTTGATGATTGCATGGAACACATAAATCAATGCACACTCAGAATTATAAAAGGTAAAAAAAAAGCTTTCTAGAGAAAATTCCCCACGTTACTGTTTATGGTAACTTTGTTCATAATCAACACACTTCAAAGCAGTCAAAATCTGCACACTTTTTTTTACACCAGCTTTTTATAAACTGACTAGACTTAGAGTATCGAAGATTTACTCCAACCTGATGTATATTCGTAAAGGGTGATATTAGTCAGCATTTAAAGAAATAAGTTCTTAAGTTCAAAAACATGCCTGAATATTAACTGCACATTTTTTCAGGATGAATAACATAAAAGACTAAATTCCACATCATGGGAATTTCATTGTATTTTGGAAGAGGCAGGAATCTAAAGGTGGCAAGGAGGCCAATGACTGACAGCCGGTGGAGGAAGGAGGAGGGTGAGTGTGGGAGGTGACTGCATTCATGGTGCTGTCACTCTCCTCCACGGCACTGTGATGGTGGCCGCACCACACTGCTGTGTGGTCACAGCTCAGTAAACTGTACCCCAGAGCCACAGCACCTTCGTGCAGGCAGAGAATGTCTTCCTGGACTCTGGTGTCCGTGACGCAGCTCACAGGGGAATATCATGTCATCCACTTCTCCAACGAGGTGTGACCCCTTGTTCCCAAAGGGGCAGGACAGGAAGGTGGAGACCTGAGGGATTGTGAACAGGAAGTTTGAAAAGGGAGCAAAGAAACTGCACATGAGCCCCTTAGGATGACAGAGTGTGTCCCCTCAGCTGAGGGCTCAGGCCTTGTGATGTGTTGGGGCCGGGCCTGGAATTGAACCGTGACGTCCATGGTCACAGATGATGGGAGACATCGTTGTCCCCTCAGAAACAGAAGGTCCTGTGTTGTGAGGGTCTCGACCTCTCCATAGCCAGGGTGGAGATCAGACCTGCCCTTATGGTTCTGGAGACGATTGCCCTAGGTCCTTCAGCTAAAACACAGGATAGTTTGAAAACTAATGGTTGATTATTTATAAACCTGTAAAGTATAGCACACACCTGGGGCCACAGACTGAGGTCATCATAGAGACAGAGTGAGCCTGTGGCCTCCCCATCAGGAGTGTGGACAGAGGCTCAGGTGACAGATAAGGAACTGGGGTGAGTGACAGAGAGAGACCAAGCCTTGAGGACCCACCTTGGAGTCCATGGGGGCAGTGTCCCTGATGTGTTTGTCCATGTGCTCCCTGCCCTGGGGATCTTGGTGACCCTGAGCCTCACTCTGATCCTGGAGAAGCAGTGGAGCAGGGGGGACAGTTGGAGACAGTCCCCAGGGAGCAGCCACAGCAGGGGTATGAGCTATTGGGGTCATGAGTTGCAGGCTCAGAAAGGCTGGGTGTGACCTGGGAGTTGCCTGTCCTCCATGCACAAGGGGTGGGGACCCACAGCACTGGAGGCAGAGGGCTCTGCTCTGGAATCCTCTTCCCTCATCTCAGCCAGTGTGAACCAGGACTGGGGCAGCAGGAGACTGGGAGCCTGTCCCTCGGATCCATGGGATGCTGTGCATCCCCTGCCTGAGTCTGGGCCCAGGTCCCACCTGCTTTCAGCCCCAGAAACCCTTAGCTCACAGGGGTCCTCCCAGGCCCTTCCCATTACAGGCACCAGGAGAGGAACTGGGAGTGGGGAGCAGTGACCAAGATGATATTCTCCTCCCTCTGGGGGCTGAAAGGTTGAGAAACAGCCACCACCTCTGCCTCCCTGTGGCTGGGATCCTGGGGATGTGCAGGTTAAGGGAGAGGTTGGGGAACCACTTCTTCATGACGCCCATGTCCCGGGCACTGCAGCCTGACCTTGGACATTCAGCTCATGTTCCTCCATGACTCCTCATCCTGCTGGGTTGTAAAGGTCGGCAAAGCCCCCAACACATGGTCACTGTCCTCAGCCCTCCTGGAATATTTTTATGGGAAAGTCAAGTAGGGGCATCTGTCATGACATTGACACCCGGCTCACATCTGGGGACCTGGATCAGAAGGGAGGACTAACATTGCCACATACTTCAGGGACGCAGCAGGGAGGCCCCCAGAGCCAGCCTGGACTGAGGGACGCTGCCTCCTGGAGTCCTGTCCCCTGTCCTCACCCAGAGAAGGGGTCCAGGGCACCAACCCAGGCTTCTGTCCCCCTACACGGACTCATACACCCCAGGGCCTCCTCACCAGGCTGCACACCTGCCTCAGGCTGTGGACACTGATCCTGACACTCAAGGTCAGGGTCTCCCATTTCTGACCTAGGAATTCAGTGTTTGTGCTCCTTCCCCAGATCTTCTACTCCTTCATGCAGAGAGAAGCCTCTCCCTACCTGTGGCTCCCCTGCAGCGACAGCAGCGCCCTCTCAGGGGCTCGTCATAGCAGAGGCCCCAGTTCACCCAGTCCTCTTCCCCCTTCTCTCCCCACCTTCTCCCGGGACCACAGCCACCAGCATCTCCTCCTGCTGTGCTCCTGCTTCAGGTGCTCTGCCCTGACACCTGGTTATCTTCAGTCCTGCCCTGTTCTGGCCCCCCTCCGATCCCCCGGGGCCACAGGTTCACCAGGTGGTGATGCTTCTGTTAAATCACTGCCTCCCATCTTGGGTTGAAGATCTTTATGCATTGTTTTAATATTTTAACATTTTCTTCGATGTTCTTTGTGCAGAACACCGCCACTCCTCTCCTGAAATGAATATGAAAGACCCTCCTCTGAGGAGCTCCCTAAATGTTCCTTGAGTTAGAATAGTCTTTTGCATGATTTATGTTTTGTAGACATTCCCCCTCTCACAGGAGTGTTTATTATGTGAGGAATCTTCCCTCCATGTGGGAAGCTCTCAAATCACAGACCTTGTATCCATGTTCTCTACAGCAGACCATGCAGGGTGCTCCACCCAGTCCTTCAGGTCACTGGTGAGTGCTGGGGTCACAGCTCTGGATGTTACCTTCAGGACACTGAGGACCCTGAAAGGGACATGTAATCAGCAGGGGGCACTGTGCGTCCCCTGGGCCCTGTGTGTCCTCCCACCTGGGGGAACCCCACCTGGCCTCAGAGCTGGGCAGAGGCTGAACTGCCCCCTGTGCTCCTGGTGAGACCCAGCAGCCTGGTGCCCTCAGGGCCTGGCAGAGGCTCCTGGGCATTGTCCTGAGGGGTTCCCACAGATGTTCCCTCCACCCTTCCTATGTCCACTCTGAGCAGTCCCTGCCTTCAGCATCCTCTGTCACCAGTTTTTCTGAATCACTGACCAGATGGAGTCTGAGAGAGACTGGAAGGGGTGACAATTTGCAAAAAGAGCACTGTCATTTGCCTGGAGACTGTAGGGAGAATTAGACAAGCTTAACAGAGTACAGCTCCATTCTTGGGACAGAGGATTTGTCAACATGGCCTGGACTCCTCTCTTCCTCCGGTTCTTCTCTTTCTGCTCAGGGAGGGACACAGCATCTGTCTTCCTGGGGACCTTCTGGGGGATGATATTATCATCCCCTGAAAACTCCCACCAAAAATGCTCCACCTCCTGGGAGTTTGTGTTCCTACAGTTTCCCTGTCCCAGGCAGGGCTGGCCCAGCTGCCCCCCCACCTCCCTCTGCATCTCCAGGAACAACAGCCAGACTCACATGAACCATGAGCAGTGGCTTCATTGTTGGCGGCTGCTACATATACTGGTTCCAACAGAAGCCAGGGAGGCCCCCTCCCGTAACTCCTGAGGTTCTATTCAAACTCAGATAAACACCAAGGCTCAATGTTCCCCAGCCCTGCTCTGGATCTGACGACACCTCCACCGAAGCAGGGCCTCTGCTCATCTCTGGGCTGCAGCGTGAGGACAAGGCTGACTCTTACTGTACAATCTGGCACAGTGGTCCTGGTCACAGGGACACACACAGAAGAGGACGTGGGGCACCATCTAGGCCTGCCTATGGCATTGGACTCTGTCTCCCAATGTAAGAGATTTGAATACACACTAATTTTCCTGGAAGTAGATTCTGGATCATCATATCCTTCCTCCTAGTTTTCTATTTACACCTCTCTGAAGACACAGGAGAAATAAAAACTGAGAAGAAATAGACACAGAAATAAAGTTAGTGATCCAAATTGAAAAATTAGCCTCGGTGTCCATTGAAAGATGAATGGGTAAGGAAGCTGTGGTCTATGTATACAATGGAATATTCCTCAGCTATTAGAAATGACAAACACCCACCATTTGCTTCGATGTGGAGGCACCTGGAGGGTATTATGCTGAGTGAAGCAAGTCAACTGGAGAAGGACAGACATCATATGGTCTCATTCATTTGGGGAATATAAAATAGTAAAAGGGATTATAGGGGACAGGAGGGAAAATGAGTGGGAAATATCAGAGATGGAGACAGAACATGAGAGACTCCTAACTCTTGGAAATGAACAAGTTGTGGTGGAAAGGGAGGGTGGTGAGGGGTGGAGGTGACTGGGTGACGGGCCCTGAGGTGGGCACTTATTGAGATGAGCACTGGGTGTTATGGTATATGTTGGCAAATTGCACTCCAATAAAAAATATAGAAATAAAAGAAAAATTAGATCCTGTTATCATGGTGTTCCATTTCTCTTCCCATAGAACATCTACTTTTATTAATTTAATATTCAGAACAAAGGGACAATCCCAACAATTTGAAAGTCCTACTCAGGGTGGAGTCTGCCCTTCCAGCTGTCAGAGCAGGAACCTCCTCTTCTCTCCCAGGCCCCTAGTCTCTCTCTCTCTCTCTCTCTCTCTCTCTCTCTCTCTCTGTCTTTGATTCCTTTTTCTTTTTTTAATAATAAATTTATTTTTTATTGGTCTTCAATTTTCCAACATGCAGAATAACACCCAGTGCTCACCCCGTCAAGTATCCCCTCAGTGTCCATCACGCATTCACCCCCACCCCCCGCCCTCCTCCCCTTCCACCACCCCTAGTTCGTTTCCCAGAGTTAGGAGTCTTTATGTTCTGTCTCCCTTTCTGATATTTCCCACACATTTCTTCTCCCTTCCCCTCTATTCCCATTCACTATTATTTATATTCCCCAAATGAATGAGACCATAGAATGTTTGTCCTTCTCCTATTGACTTATTTCACTCAGCATAATACCCTCCAGTTCCATCCACATCGAAGCAAATGGTGGGTATTTGTTGTTTTTAATGGCTGAGGAATATTCCATTGTATACATAGACCACATCTTCTTTATCCATTCATCTTTCGATGGACACCGAGGCTCCTTCCACAGTTTGGCTATTGTGGACATTGCTGCTAGAAACATTGGATATCCAATGCCGTCAGTCATGGGGAATCCTGGAGGAATCCATAGACAAAGGTTTGCCTGCATATTTTAAGATAAGTCATTATTTTTCTTGTGCTCTAGGTTTTCATTCTGAAGAATTCTGTGGACAGTAGATCCACCACAGAAACATTTTCTACCATAGATACCATCCCAGGCTGTAGCGTTTTATCACACACAGAGACACAAAACTCTCAGCAGTATGTTTTCTCACTCCTAGTAGATACCAAGGGAACTCAGGGGACTTTGGGTGAGACTGGGTTGTGGGTTAAGAAGGAGGAGGCTGGGTCTCACCCCAGCCCTGCACTCCACGACACATGGAAACCCTAGAGATGTCGGTGTAGTTTCTGCAGAGATGAGGAATGGACAGATTTCTTGTCACTCAACAAGTCCTAGACTCCTGATTCAGTGGATTGTTAACACGTTTGCTCTCACAGCAGTCCTCTTGGTTAACAATCTTTTCAGGGCAGCGCCTGTGGCTCAGCAGTTTAGTGCTGCCTTCAGCCCAGGGTGGGACCCTGGAGTCCCAGGATCCAGTTGGGCTCCCTGCATGGAGCCTGCTTCTCCCTCTGCCTGTTTCTCTCTCTCTCTCTCTCTCTCTCTCTCTCTGTCTCTCATGAATAAATAAATAAAATCTTTTTAAAAATAATCTTTTCAAATAAAAAACCTTTGAGATGCTTACTTCTAAATGTACGTTCAAGACCTTGGATATTTAGAAGAGCATTTCCATGGAGGACCATCCCTCAGTATGTTTCGCAGTCATTAGAGGCAGGGGTCACATAGCCTCATTCATCATCTTGCGTTCCCTCTCTCTCTCTCTCTCTCTCTCTCTCACACACACACACACACACACACACACACACACACACACACAGAGTTCTTTCCTCTGCCTGAGTGAATAGCATCCTGGATGCTGCAGTTTCCAGGCTTCTCAATCCCTTCAGAGCCAACCTGTCCTCAGTCAGCGATTCTCAGAGCCTCAATCTCAGGGAGACAGAAGCTTCTTCAACAGGAAACACTGGTGACATCTAGTGTGACTGGGGTCCTCTCACCAGGGCAGCCTGGATGTACACAGAGCCTGTTCCTCTAGGTTGAGGCTGATGCTCAGGATAGCCAGGGGGAGTCTCCGTCCCCATGAGCAGCTCCATCTCTGAGCATCTCTTGGCACCAGTCAGTGTCTGAGCCTGATCATTCCATTGATTCTGGGACCTCAGCCTCAGGGCTGCTACCACAGAGCTCCAGGCCCCTGGGGACATGGGACACCCCTCCCTGTGCTGTCTGCCTGGGCTGTCACTCCCTCAGTCATCCAACTGCCACCTCCAACCAGGCCGCAGTCTGATAGAAAGTCTTGTGACCCATCCCAGGGCTACAGCACCTGTGAGCTCAAGGACATCATTCCCCTCAACACCAACTCTCCTCCAATCATGTGTGGGATGTTTGACAGACTCTTCTGAGTCCAGGGCCCTTGGTCAGGATAAATCCATGCCTGTAGTCATGGGGGGTTAACGACTAATGTTGTATCCTGAACATGCTGGACACAAGTTGCAGAGACTCAAGCTGTGCTCAACCCAGAGAGTGGTCCGTCTCCAAATCACTTTATCCAAGAAGCTGTGTCTGTTTGGTAATTTTGTCCCCATGTCCTCAGTGCTGTGCAGAACTCAGGGGAAGATAACTCTGGAAATCAGAGAAGCCTCATGAGAGGAAAGTCCCAGCATCCTCCATAGCAGGGGCCGTGTTTCACACACACATGGGGGTGTGTCACTGCGCTGGACTGGATCCTGAACTCTAAGAGGAATTTGTATAAGAGATACCACCTTTGCCCTGACCAGGAACGGTCAAGGGAGCTGTGGACTAACTCTCTCTGAAGACTCTCAGTGGAGCAAATAGTGAGCCCTGAGGTAATGTGAGCTGGCATACAGGGACTGGCCTGGCCCTAATGCAGGGAACAGTGGGCAAAGAGTTGGGGAAGCAGGAGATGTGGGCCCTGGTCACCTTGTCGCACAGTGGAGCCTCTGGATCTGGACACCAGGGGGCATTCTGGTTCCATTTCTGAGGAGTCAGGGTGATCAGAGTTGGGACCTGCCACTTGGCACTGCTTGTGCTCTCTGCTCAGAGATCACAGCTGGGACCTCCCCACCCCCTGGCCTAACACAGACCCTCCTTTGCCCATGCCCTTGTCATCTCAGGCAGAGGGACCTGACCCAAGGCCAGGTGGGTGTCAGAAGCCAAGGTTTCATTTGCATGTATGGGCCCTCCCTCTCAGAGAAGATGAAGAGGGGAAGAGAAAGATAAGAGGAGGCTCTGCTCAGCTGTGGGATCACAGTAGGCAGGATCAGTGGTGACCTCCACCATGGCCTGGTCCCCTCACCTCCTCACCCTCCTCGCTCACTGTATAGGTGACTGGATATGGGGATGGGGGAAGGGCCCTGGGAGGACATGTGGAGTTCTGCATACTCCTCTTGTCTCCAGACCCCAACATAATACTCTCTGTGTCTCTCCCCATTGCAGCATCCTGGGCCCAGGCTGCGCTGACTCAGCCGCCATCAGTGTCTGTGCCCCTGGGACAGAGGGTCACCATCTCCTGCACTGAAAGCAGCTCCAACATCGGCAGTGGTTATGATGTACAATGGTACACACAGCTCCCAGGAAAGTCCCTGAAACTATCATCTATGGTAATAGCAATCAACCCTCGGAGGTCCCAAATTGATTCTCTGGCTCCAGCACTGGCAATTCAGCCACCCTGACCATCACTGGGCTCCAGGCTGAGGACGAGGCCATTATTACTGCCTGTCTTATGATGACAATCTCGATGGTCAGACAGTGCTCTGGGCCTGGGAGGAAGTGAGACACAAACATGCTCTCCCCGCCCCCCCCCCCAGAAGTTAGTTTTGCTTTGCAGCACCCACTGTTTGGCCAAGTCAGCTTCCACCTTTGTTTGGTGTAAAATGCAGTCTGTGGTCAACCTGACGGAGCTTTGGCTACAAAATGATCCTGATTCTCTTCAATTCAGCCCCTGCACCTTGTCCTTGGCTCGAACACATTCTATGGTTTTCTCGTATTGAGGAGAAATTCCTTGTTGTCAGGAGCATGATGCTCTGTTCAGAGTATGTTGATGAAGAAAGAAAGACAAGAAAACATAGATTAAATTAAATGTCCTTACAGTCTGCAGCCCACTGTTAGAGACCTGACATATGCAGAGAGTGAGTTGCTCAAGGAACTCATGGCTGCTTAGTGCCTTAATGTTTATCTTTATTAAAGATTGAGAAAAACCTCACCTTAACAGCAGCTAGATCATGAAGATCCTGAAAGTCTTGCTTCCAACTTCCTTAGAGTTTTACACTATCCCTGACCTCCACTTATTAAAAAGCATATCATCAGTCCCTCCTCACAATCCCAGTGCAGATTTCTGCCCACAGGACCTGTTACCCCTATAATAAAACCACTTGGGGATCCGAGTGGCTCAGCAGTTTAGCGCCTGCCTTTCTGCCTAGGGTGTGATCCTGGAGACCTGGGATGGAGTCCCATGTCAGGCTCCCTGCATGGAGCCTGCTTCTCCCTCTGTCTGTGTCTCTGCCTCTCTCTCTATGTGTCTCTCATGAATAAATTAATAAAATCTTCATAAAAAAATAAAAATAAAACCACTTGTTATCAACATTCTATATCTCTAGAATTAGTTCTTGACCATTGGGATCAACAATCCTGTATCACTGTGACAAGCCAGGACAGAACAGGAGACACAGAGTCCACCTGCGTCTGACTGAAGATGGAGCACTGTCCTTACAGTGTGCATTCAAACCACCTACTGAACACCTACTATGTGCCCCATGTGAGCCTAGGGATGTGGGACACAAGTGGACATGGAAGAGTCCCCATGATCAAGGAGCTGACAGTGTCTGAGGGAAGAGAGAGGACACAGAATACGTATAATGAGGAATGCTTGTCCCAGGATACTAAGGAGGGGTGAGCTTGGTGGGTTGGAGCTGGAACATTGGAGGTGTACCCAGGGAACCCCAGAATGTGATGACCCACAATGACATCCCAGTCCAGCACAGATGGTGATGGAGCACGGCATGAGCATGGGGGGGGGGACGTGGCAGGGGTGTGGACTCTGTCCCAGTCAGACTAGGAGTTCTGGACAAGGGGATGATGATGAGGAAAGTCAGAGTCCTCATGACATAGAGGAAGCCAGGACTGGGATGAGAGTTGGAAGGAGGAGAAGGAGGTGGGGTTCTTGGGAACAGTGTGGGGAGGGGCCTCCACCAGCTAGGAGAGTGTGAGGATCCATTTCTGATGCAGAATGAGGTCTACATCATGTTTCCAGGATATAGGATCAGCCCCTGATCCAGGGGACTGTTGATCAGGAGTCATAGCGATGCACATCTCTGCTTACTCTTGACTGACCTTGAAACTTCACTAGTGCCTGTTGCTGTGGAGTTAAGTATTTCCTGTTTTCTTCAGTTACTTTGTTTTCATAAGAATCTAATTCTTATTAAATAATTAATAAGGCTGGCTAATGGTTTATCTATCTTATTAATTCTTTCAAAGAACCAACTCCTGATTTTGTTGATCTGTTCCACAGTTCTGGTCTCGATTTCATTGAGTTCTGCTGAGTCTTAATTAACTCTCTTCTTCTGCTGGGTGTAGGATCTATCTGCTGTTTTTTCTCTAGCTCCTTTATGTGTAAGGTTAGCTTTTGTATTTGAGTTCTTTCCAGTTTTTGAATGGATGCTTGTATTGCGATGTATTTCCCCATTAGGACTGCTTTTGCTGCATCCCAAAGATTTTGAATGGTTGTATCTTCATTCTCATTAGTTTCCATGAATTTTATTAATTCTTCCTTAATTTCCTCGTTGACCCTTTCATCTTTTAGCAGGATGGTCCTTAACCTACATGTGTTTGAGGTCCTTCCAAACTTCTTTTTGTGATTTAGTTCTAATTTCAAGGCGTTATGGTCTGAGAATATGCAGGGGACAATCCCAATCTTTTGGTATCGGTTCAGACCCAATTTGTGACCCAGTATGTGGCCTATTCTGGAGAAATTTCCATGTGCACTTGAGAAGAATGTGTATTCAGTTGAGTTTGGATGTAAAGTTCTGTAGATATCTGTGAAATCTATCTGGTCCAGTGTATCATTTAAAGCTCTCGTTTCTTGGAGATGTTGTGCTTAGAAGACCTATTGAGTATAGAAAGAGCTAGATTGAAGTCACCAAGTATAAGTGTATTATTATCTAAGTATTTCCTCAATTTGGTTATTAATTGCTTTAAATATTTGGGAGCTCCCACATTCAGGGCATATATTTTGAGGATTGTTAAGTCTCCTTGTTGGATAGATCCTTTCAATATGACAAAGGGCTAGTTTCCAAGATCTATAAAGAACTTATTAAACTCAAGACCAAAGAAACAACACAATCATGAAATGGGCAAAAGACATGAAGAGAAATCTCACAGAGGAAGACATAGACATGGCCAACATGCACATGAGAAAATGCTCTGCATCACTTGCCATCAGGGAAATACAAATCAAAACCACAATGAGATACCACCTCACACCAGTGAGAATGGGGAACATTAACAAGACATGGAAACCACAAATGTTAGAGAGGATGCGGAGAAAAGGGAACCCTCTTACACTGTTGGTGGGAATGTGAACTGGTGCAGCTACTCTAGAAAAATATGTGGAGATTCTTCAAAGAGTTAAAAATAGACCTGCCCTACGACCCAGCAATTGCACTGTTGGGGATTTACCCCAAAGATTCAGATGCAATGAAAGGCCGGGACACCTGCACCCCGATGTTTCTAGCAGCAATGTCCACAATAGCCAAACTGTGGAAGGAGCCTCAGTGTCCATCGAAAGATGAATGGATAAAGAAGATGTGGTTTATGTAGACAATGGAATATTACTCAGCCATTAGAAACAACAAATACTAGGCGTGGTGGAAGGGGAGGAGATCAGGGGATAGGGCTAATGGGTGACGGGCACTGAGGGGGGCACATGACGGGATGAGCACTAGGTGTTATTCTGCAATCACAGGTACTGCCTGCAGACCTCTATCCACTCTCCTCCTCCTTTGTGATCAGGACATGTGACCCATCATGTGGCCACCTATCACCCAGTGTTGATTTTAGGCTTCACTCTAATTGCTCGGTGTGAAACCATCCACGGTTCCCTTGGCTGATCATGGGCCATTCAGGACAGAGGTATGTCTATATACCAACTCTTCTGACATCACTGTCACATCCAGAGGAGTGACTGGTACCCATGTACACGTGGCCTCTTCTGCACGAGATGCTGAGACCTTCCTCCTATATGATCCCCCTGCTTCCAGCCCTTCCCCTTCTCTGAGTTTCCTGAAATCCTGAAGAGCCAGAGTGTGAGATTCTCCAGCTTGTGGGTAGAAGCCCTTGTGTGCATTCCTGGAAAGATTACACACTGAACATCGTTGTCATCTCTCAT